GTGTGTGTGTGTGTGTGTGTGTGTGTGTGTGTGTGTGTGTGTGTGTGTGTGTGTGTGTGTGTGGCACATGGTTGGGGCGTTGCTGCGGCACATCCAGCCTGGCTTGTCTTTGATACTCTCTGAGGCCACGCTCTACCAGGAACCGTGGGGGAAGATCAAAGACACGTGATTTTTCTTTTCTTTTCTTTATTTTTCATCAAATGGGGCTCGTGTCGACCGTTTGTAACGCGCTTCTGCTCGTCAGGAACATCAACTCTGTCACCGGCGACGCCGCGGGAAAGCACGGCGCTCTTTTTAAACCCAGTGGTGATCTCCCCGTTATCCAGATGAAAACGGATTTATTAAACCCTCCCATCAACTCACTCTATAAATAGAAGCTCGTGGAAAAATCTTCTAGGTTGGGGGGGGGGGGGGGGTGAAAAATAAGCTGTGCTCTTAAGCTGTTATTAACATGCTGATAGAGAACAAAGTGAAATGTTGTTTCAYCGCAGAGACTTGGATGTGACTGTAAGAATAACGCTTGTTGGAAATATTTCCAATGTAAAGGTAAAGTTATGAGGTGCAACGCTGATCAAATAAACTTGTATTTACAGGTACACAGGTGTACATATTAGTGGAAAGTTGGGAAATGTGTAAACTCTTACAGAGGGGTCACAAGTATTCACACTCATTAGTAGGGTTATGAGGGTTTAAAAATACCTTTTTTCAAGTAGAAGTATCAAGTCAAATTGTTTACTCAAGTAAAAGTATAGCATTTGTCTAAAACACGGATGTCCAAAGTGTGGCCCGGGGGCCATTCGTGGCCCCTGAACTGATTTTGTGTGGCCCCTGACTTCAGTTCAAGAATTATACTAAATTGTTTACAAATTTGTCCCCTCGGCACAGGTGTTTGATGTAGACGGAGACTTTCTATTTACTATTAGGGCAAATTTATCACAAAGTAATATCTTACAATAAAAAAATATTGGCAACAATACCAATTATTTGTCTTTAAATAAGCAGACTCGTAGCTTTTTCCACATCTATCTGGTGACTTCTACTCAAAAGCTGATTTTGCTGCACTCTAATCTGCTTTTAATTAACTTATTAAATTTGTCTGAAGCATTTTCAACAAAAGAATGACCTAAATCTGGATTTTATTGATCAGAATTGACCAAATTTGGTTATTTATTCCGCCAATTGAAACCTAGAAAATTGCAAAATTTCTTTCAATAAGGGAAACCTGCGAAACYCTTTTAAAGTTCTGGATCTAGATTAATTTACACAGCCATTCCCAGCCATAAATCTGACTACTTTATTTGTTTAATTAAAGTATTCAATGCTTAGTTTATTGTTGAGCTGGTAAAGGAAAAGTATTTTTGCCCCCAAGTCCTTCTGACTTTAAGATTTTGTCCCACGTGACAWAATGTTTGGTCACCCCTGGTCTAAAGGCAATAATGACAAGAATGTTATATCAAAATGTTGATTGGGTTGTCTGTGTAAATGAGAATTAATTTAAGGTTTAATGCTGAAGTCAATGGTAGGGGGAAGAACCCTATCCATATAGATAGTTTTATTTTTATTTATTTATTTTGTTTGTTTAAATAATGACTAGCTGGAATGAAGACAAGTTGAAGTGAGATATAAATTAAATACTTTTTGCTTTTTTTAAATAAGGGGTAGAGTTAAAAAGCTGGCTGAAAACAAAAGTAAACTCCAGTAATGTATAAATAGCCAAAATGTATACTAAAGTACAATAAGAATGTATTTGCACTTTGTTACTTGACCCCTCTGCTCTTACACAATCTCTGTGAGAATACAACAGAAAAATTACAGCCAGAATAAAAATAAAATACAAATTAAAGTTTATGGTTGTGTTTTTGTCATTGTTTATGATTATGAAGGTGAAGTGTGTGGTTGTGACTAAAATGTTCTTATTTATGAAAACAGACAAATAAACATGATCATATGTCATATTCACGATCACACACTTCCCTTCGTATTCATATAGAAAACACCCAAATACTAAGTTGAGCTTTTTGTATTTAATATTCTTGACGTTCTTGAGCTACATTCTCACAGAGGGGACGAAGACAAGTCTGTGAACGAGTCGACTTTTGTAGGAGTTGACAAATTTCCAGGTGTGAACAAGCATCCACTAATATGCAGGCACTGTAAATTTTGCCACGTTAAARCACCACTAATAGTGTGAAATTTGACTCCGAAACCAGGCTGCGATAACCGCTTTAAACTAAAACTGACACAACAATTACCATTAAAATGTCAGCCATGCATTTGTAACATAAACAATAAAAAAGGAACCATTTTATCTGTAAATACACATTTTCCAATACTGCCTTTACCCCATGTAAAACTCTCTGTGTAATGGAATTTGACACATAAAACAGCTGAGTCAACTTTGCTTTTACTGCATACAGTATGGAAGCGGCCGCAGGCTCCTGTGTGTAATATTGCTACAGGCTTTCTATTGGAGAGGTGGGTAAATGCTACTCATCGTGGGTCTATCATCCAATGGGATGCATCATGCAGAAGGTTGAAGGGTAACTCTTGATAGCGTTAGAGTGAAATATCTCTATAAAATCCCACGTGGCGGGCTCCGGAAACACGTTGGAAACAAATGATGGAGCATGTGGCAGCTCTCAGGTGGAGTCAACCTAACAGCTTGAACTGCTGCAATCAACTTTCCTCTGTTTGTTCTGATTAGAAAACTGCCACCTGTTATCCAGAACACTGTTATAGTAACTCTGGGCTTCTGGTAACAAAAAATTTCCTTTTTTTTTTTTTCACCCAAAACCTACATGTTGACTCACTATTTTTGGTTCAGTGCATGCTGATGAGTGCTCCTCCTTTGTGTCTCGGCATGACTAAAATGAACTCCTCTCGGCTGTTGATTACATCAGATGCATGAGAGTGTGTCAACTAGAAAACCATCATCTGTTAGTTCGGAGCAACTAGTTCACAAACTCATTACGAATCTTATCAAAACTCTTTGCTGTGTGATGTTTGTTTAGTTGTCTGTGTGTGAATGTGTGAGGATCAGTGTGTGTTCAATGTGCAGTCATGTGCATGTGTGAACGTTAACAGTAAACAGGGTCCTGATTGAGGCACTTCTTTTGGTGAGCCTTTTGTTTCGTGTTATGATGCTGATTTCCAACAAACAGTTTGAAAAAAAGGATGTTGCATTGCTCTATGGCAACACTGAACAAGACTTACTCCCAACAGTTCTGAAAATAATGGTGATATTTTGTCAAAATACTCAATATTGTTGATTAGTTTAAGCACTAAAGTTTTAAAGGGATAGTTCAGTTATTTTAAAGTATACGGTTCTGTAGAAAAGTTGCAAACAGGTAATATTTGATTGGTTATACAGTGAATAGCTCTTTGAATTAATTAAATTTGGAGAAACATAGTTTTATTCTAAGCAGACTGAAGAGCTAYTGGTCCAAAGTGGGACCAACAATTCTATTCTCAAAATATGCCCAGTGGTTCATTCAGGGATACATCTTCACCAAATGGTGCTACAGCTAGCTGCTGATGCTTCTGTTTGGGCATGCAAATAACCCCAGATGTAAATAATGGTTTAATGCAACATTTTGTATAAGAATGTTTCCCGAAACTGCTTCATCATTTCTGAGAATTGAGCTGTTTTAAGACGACAGCAATCAACTTTGTTGTTTTGGCTCCATTGTGGCTAGGCATGAGCTCATCAGTCCGGTCAGAACAAAACAATATCAATCTAAAATGAGTTTTTTTTTTCCAACAGGTAGGATATTACTGTTCAGAATCTTTCCACAGAAACACCCTTGGAGGGTCTTTTATCGCTTTATTTCCTAAATTTCCCATGTAACACCAATGGGACACTGTTGCATCCATGATTCTGATCGTTTTCTGCGGCGTTTTTGCCATTAAACAAAATAGAAACGTGTCCATATCACACTTTGTTAACCTCTGTATGGATGACCGTGACGTAAATGTATAAAAATAAACACAAAACTACATTTTAGGTTTGCAGCCATTTCAGCTTTGTGCTGATGTGCACCGAAACAGCCATTTTAAATTCACAGCAATGATAGTGCTTTTTTTTTTATTATTTAGTCCATCGGAATGAAAGAACCCCCTTTAGGTGGTTTGCTTTGAGCTGGTGTGGTCTTTTCTACACCCAACTCCCCTGGCAGCTTTGTTCCTGAAGTTGGCACATTTCTGAGCCGACTGCAGTCCTCGTATCTATGTGTGCTCTTTGTTTCATGGGCCATCACACTTCAAACATGCATTTAGGGCAGAGGAAGGAGTGACAGACGTGCACAGTTCATTGACATGGTTCCTATCTTATCTATACAGACACAGTGCATTAAATCTATCACTAGTTCAGCAAAAAAAAAAAGGAGGAAGATGGCATGATACTCACCTTCTTTGGGAGGCCGTTTCACTTCTGCACTCAGATTGCAGATTTGTCCAGCTTGTAGCTGAGGCGCCAAGCAGCCCTCCGTTTGTGGATTTAAAGGTAAAACCACGTTATTGAGCGTGAGCATGCTATCTGATTCTCCATCGCCTAAATGCTGAGGACATGTGCATTTGCTGTACACAATCCCACACGTCTCCACTGTCCCTTTCTCTAGTTTCAGGCAGTTTTCCAGCCACGTGCAAAGCACTTGACACCCAAACTGGCTAGGGCTCGCCTTATTGAACACCAAGAAATCCACAACAGACTTCTCCTCCTCATCCAGCTTCTGCGGCGTCAATCCGTTGTAATCATACGGGAAAACTCTCCTCAGTTGAACGAAATTCTTGTCGTACAGCAAAAATACGTAATTATTCTTTGAATCGCACAGATAAACTATAGACTCGTTCACTTTTAGCAACTCGTTGATCTTCTCGTGTGAGTAATGATCGAACTGATAAGCAAGCAAAGAGTATTCAGAGCAGCTCAAGTCTCGCTTGTATAGCTTAAGGTAGATGCTGTATTTGGTTGGGTCTGGGTTCTCCAACGTCCACGTGCAGTTCGTGTAGTTCTTGGGAAACATTTCAGTCACCGAATACGATCCATAAATGACCCCCTTGACCAGAGAGGAACACCAATAATCTTGGGCACCAGTTAATCCAAACATAACCAGAAGATAGGTGGAAAATATATAAATCAACAGGTTTCGAACAGCCTTCATCCTATGTCATTTGGCCTGCAGGGAGAGAGATGAAGAAGATTACGCAACAAAAAATGTTAAAGCAGCGCACAAGATGATTTCTGTCAAGTGTGACTGACATGCTTCACACAGTTCTTACAAAGTCCTTCCTTGGAGGGGGAAAAAAAGAGGGAGAAAAGACACATTAACCTCAGCAACATGTCTTTTGCAGCTTCATCCTGCCTCCCATTTTGCACCATAGTTTGTGCAAACATTGCCACCTTGTGGCTACTTCACAACCCCCATTTTTTTATTTATATGTGCGTTTTATTGAGGGAGGTGGGCGCAATAACGTGAGTCATTTAGACATATTAATTGGGTCATATTTGGACTGGCACAGCCCCGAGAGATATTCAAACGTAGCAGTTTGGAATATTTGGTAAAAAATGCAAAGAGGGTCTCTCCTTTTTTCTTTTTTTTATTTTTTTTTTTTGGCATGCAGGTCGGTGCAGTCCTCGGGAGTTAGGAGGATGCGGCCGAATTCATTTTTACGCAGTAACCAGAATCTTTTTTTGAATCACGCTGTAGCTGTTTGCTTCACAGGACAGTTTGTTAATGTGAGGAAGAAATACACACACACACACACACACACGCACTCACACGCACGCACGCACGCACGCACGCACACACACACACACACACGCACGCACAATGCATGTCTGCGTCCCCGTGCATAACAATCACCATTGCTCCTCTCTTTGTGCGCACTTCCCCATCCAACACACAACCCTCGTGTGTTTGTGTTTGTGTGTGTCTTGATTTCGGGGCTTGACATGTTTGATAATGTAATTCGATAAAGAGCTCCTGTTTGTGAGTGCGACTCTTTGTGTGCGTGCGTGTGTTTGCGCGCGCGCGCATTGGGTGGAGGGGGGTTAGAGATGGAGAGAAAGCAATGCGATGTCCTGATTGCTTTAATCCTACAGGCAATGCAGCTGTGAGCAGTGTCACAGCAGAATGTGCATGCGTGTGCGCGTGTCTCAAACTGGGTATCCGCGCGCGCGCCTGTGTGTGTCTGAGTAGGCGTCAAAAAAAAGGGAAAAAAACTGATGAGTAGATGAGTTTTATTTTAACGAATACACATTTGTTCCCGCTCCAACTTTTTTTTTATGATTCTGAGCTGTCAGTCAGACCACACCGGAATAATAATAATAATAATTATTATAATAATATGTGTCATGTAAGGATTTGTGGCAGCAGAGCAGAGTTAGATCAGCTCTTGCTGCGATATGTAAACCCATAATATGATCTCCACAACCTTACGATGAGATTCATGATCAAGCGCTAAAAAAAATAAGCGAGCAAATAAATCCAAATGAGAATTCTCGCGTCAAAAAAAAAAAAAAAAAGAGCCCACTTTTTTATTGCCTGGCTTCTAACCATTTCGTCTGAGAGACAATCTGAACACGGACAGCTTCGTGCCGCGTCAGTTCGACGCCTGGCACTTTAAAGTCATTTTTTTTTGCCTCTTAAGAGGGAGATCAGCTCTTAAAAATCATCCGTTAAGCACCCCGGACTAATGCGAGCGGATGAACGCGCAGAAAGCCACGAACAGACAGGGTGCATATTTAACACGGGGAGGCTGAACTTTCACTCAGAGATGACACATGAAAAAAAAAAAAAAAAGGAATAAATCACGCATCCATAATGGTAATGATGAGCACATGAATCTCTTACCTTACACTGCGGAAGCTATGGCTATTTTTCCAACATTGCCCACATGATCCTTCATAAATAAATTCTGCAGCCCTTCAGTGAATCAATACTCCCCATTCCCGACGACACAAGTCCGGCGCAACAAGATGCTTCAGCGGATGGGGAAATAAAACAGAAAAAAAAAATGCGTTACACTCCGGTCAGCGCGCTCATATCCTCCCCGTCCTCGTCTTCCTCCTCCTCTGGGTTTCTCCCATCAAACCCGAGCGCAACAACAGCCCCACCGACAGCAGGAGAAAATACCAAGAGAGAAATTCTTGGAGTGATGAGAAAGAAGCGAGCAAATTCTTTTTTACGGGGTTGCCATCAATGAGATCGGCGCGTCTCTATTTATTTCCAAATGATTTCTCCTGTAGTTTCTCCTCGCGTCTGGGGCGGCGGAGGGGGGGAAAAAGAGAGGAAGAATAAAGAAGAAGAAAAAAAAAACAGAGACCCTTCAGTGATGTGAGATGCTGGGGGGCTTGTGAGTTACAGCACGGACAGAGAAATCGACGCGCTTTGCTGGGTGCTCGCAGAGCTCCAGGAGCGAGGCTGCAACATCACGTCACACTCAGCCGCGAACAGAAAGCACGTACGTACGCTTCTTAGTGCCGCTGCGTCTGGCACCACCACCACTTTCTTCCCTGCCATCCTCCTCCCCCTTTTCTTTTTTTTTTTACACCCCCCCCTCCTCCCAATACAGCCTTCTCTTAATTCGAGTCAAAAGGGTTTCCCCCCCTGAACTGGACCCTCCTCAGTTGTGTTCAGCTGCGCTTTGCTGTTGCAGCGAGGATTATTTCATGGACGTTTTTATTTCTAATCTTTTGTTTTGCTTTTATTTTTTTTTTGTAGGAGGAGTGATCATAAATATAATCCGTGCGCTCCGTCAGTGGGACTTTATATTTTTTTGCTTCTTTATCTGATGGGATCTTTTTTTTTTTTAATATAATTTTCCGCAACTGGAATAAGATTGCGCAACTTGCGCTGCGCCTGAGGTGAGGTGGGGGAAGTTGCTCCAAGTTGTCTCCATCCTCAGCARCTCCTCAGAGGTGCGTTCATAAGGTGTGGAGGGGAACGGTGCACAGCCTGAGAGCTTCATTCACTGGGTTCAATGCGTTTTTGACCCCTTTTTAAACGCGTCTCCTTGATATTCCGAGAGGCGTTTATCCAGCAATGAACAGTCAATTAAATCCAGTGTGAGCTCAGGGCTTCACCAGTTTGTCACTGACAATGCGTTATCAATGGCTCTGCAGTAGCCTGGCTGAATTCACGTGAAGAATGGAACCATAATGGACAAGTGGATGGGTTTCTCCGGTCAGCTGGGTAATCTGCTGATCAGTTTGACTTTTCATTGTGGATTTTAAAAAAAAAGGTTTATTCGCATATGTGTTCTTTGTGAGACACAAACAAAACATCCCCTCAAAAGCGGCATAAAATAAAATCATTCTTGAGAACTGATTGATGCTTTGTTTCAAAAAGGAGATTTCAAACTTAAAGTTTCTCTGGTGCGTTCACCATTAACGCTGCTGTCTACAGGCCTTCGATTAAAGGGCTTCCACCTGAGCAGATGTTGCACTAGAAGCCTTTTATATTCAATAAGTTCCAGTTTAAAGTGTTTTTTTTTTTTTTGTGCCGGCTTTACCGAAGAATGCTCCAGAAGAGACTGGCCTCAGCATGGTGACAGTTTAAAAAAAAACTTGTTTATTTTRCCCCTTAAAATCCTGCTGGACGGGCTGTTTACAGCGCCATTAATCTGTTGGCAAATTTATAAAGGAGATTGCAGTCATTCAGCGCAGTTGGTTTCCATGTCCTGTGTGTGACTGGCAGCTTTTTAATTCCAGCCTTTTCCCAGGCAGCCATTGGAACATCACGAGTGACCTCGAGCCAGCCCACTTCCCCCCACCAGCCTTAATAAAGACTTTGGCATTCAAGGGCCTATTTTTGGCRTGTGTGTGTTGGGAACGAGGGAGGGGAGGGGAAAAAAAATTCATGCAAAGCCTTATTGAACAATGAAAACACAATAAGTAACTTTCTGCTGACTCGTGGAAAGGCCGGTTGCCAAGCTTCAGGAACGCTGCCATCAATCTCCGTCGCGAGGATGTTTCCCGGGGTCCAAATGGCGCCCGGCTCGGGCAGCCGTTTCACAACCGAGAGAAAAGATGGAATTCATCGGGAAGTGGGGTTTAATGCYTCCCAGTCAAAGGTGAGTGAGAAATAATAGCACCGCTAGGAAGTGGGAGCCACTGATGGGACTCAGTGCAGAATGACTAACATTGAGCTAAAATGAAAGAACAATTTGTGAAACGTGCYTTGGACTGAACAGAACTTTGTACCACGGTTTGAATACATCATTTGAAACTGAACCGTTAAGGTGACTAGAGGGCCGTTTTAACCCCGTGTGAGATATGAATCCATTGTTTGTGTGAAAACATTAAACATGAGTCCAGTTTTAAATGGACGTGTCCTTTGTCAGGTTCAATATTGATCCAGGTCCAAATAGGTCAGACCATTACCATGTGATATTTTGATGTCCCTGGCTGTGCCTTGAATATTAAATAAGAACAAACAAACAGAAACTAGTATGAGATCTGAATTATTTGCAGCCAAATGAATAATTATTTACCCAAACCCCAACAGACTGCTGAAACAGTACATTATGAAATGTCTACATAGTCATAAAGACTTGTAAAAAAAAATTTGGATCTAGATTGCTCTCAGTTGAGCTCGCTAACAGCACATGCAGCAGATGAGTTTATCCCGTCTGGAGTCTCCAAAGCATTCGTGATATTTCTCATCAGTTGCAAAATCTGTCATATTATTCTGTCAACTGAAGAATCCGTTTGGACTCATAAATCTTGAATTATTCATGACCCTGAATAAAGAATAGGCCTATTATCACCTGCTCCTATTGGTGTGACTGAGTCTGCACTGGAGCGTGTGTGTGTGTGTGTGTGTGTGTGTGTGTGTGTGTGTGTGACACTGCTGGATGCTATGCCTGTTTGATATAATGCCTGTTTTACAGCATTCATGTCTGTAACAAACTCTAAAGTGATAAACGTCAGTCTATTGACCATGTGATYAACGTCACTCTGTTGATGTAAACCAGTCATTATCCATCATTATATTGTGAGTGATTTAGGAAGGATTCTCTCAGGAAAAAAAAAAAAACTTGTTTAGTCCTGTTTTGTGTTAACTATGCATTTGTTTGCCACAGAAAAGCAAAGCACAGCCGGAAACGTTAAAGCAATTGTTAAAAACAGGAAACTGCAGTGGTTCACTCATTATTTGTCCAAACACAATGACAATGAACCGATTAGACGTTTTGCTGAACGATTTCGTGGTAAACTACAAATTAGCATTTTTATTTCTTTTTAAGTTCTTTGTTGTGTTTTTTGCTTTATTGCTTCCAAGGAACACATTTATACACAATTTATCATTGAAAAAAGTTCAATTGTTTGTTCTTGAAGCATGTTTTTTTTCCTTGGGTCTTCATTATTGAACATCTTCTTCTCCCACTTGTTGCCATGCAGAGGAGGGACTCAAGCTGTGRGATTGTGTGTGTAGTAGATAGTTAGAATTAGGAACCCATTTGGACCAGAAAACTCACCGTTTTGTTATTTACCCTGAGGACATAAGGCTTTGGAAATGTTTCAGCTGCTGTTGGATGGATGTTCCTGCATTTTGACCAGGCATTTCACAGTGGCTAAATAATAGTTTCATTTTTTTTTCTTTCTCAAGCTTGATTTTATTTAAGAACCAAAGAAAATATGCCAGTCTCCTTTGCTGTTGAATTATATATTGAATGGATTCTAGAGACCCTGTTACACTACCTTTTAGACAACTCATGAAAGATTTTGTTAACTGTTTTACTAATATTGGCTATTTGATCTAACRYTTAGCATTATAGTATGAATAGGTCCAAAAGAGGCTCCCAGTAGATGTTTTTTTTTAAATTCCATAATCTTTAATGTCTTTTGTATTGGATAAAACGTTATAGTGTGAAAGGGCCTTAAGAAATTATGACCAAAACTTTGTCTTAAAGGGGCAATATCATGTAAAATCAACTTTTTTGAGTTTTATAT